TTACTCTGTAATGTAATCAAAGTATACATAAGAATAATCATAATGGAAAACACTGATTCACTGATAGAGTAAATGCTATAGTAGAAATGTTTGATTTATACACCCACACACCCATTCATTATCTTTTATGTCCTTAATGAACATACAGAATCTACCCAGATGTAATTTTTTTTTTAAGCATCACACAAGAGAATCCTCTTGGCCAATCAGCAGTAGCAAACAATATAATCGATGTGAAGCAGGTATGCCTATGTGATAACTGGATAAACTGAGATATGCAGAAATTAAGCAATCTGCACAAAGTCAATAGGAGAGTGAAGAATAGGGCTCAAGAGTTCTTACTTCTAGTCCCCTGCATTTCCAATTGGACAACTCAGCCTCCCAAAAAATTATATACTTCCCCATGTAGGGGACTGAACAAACATTAAATTCCACCTACTTTCCCTGTCACTCTTCATACTCCTTCCAAAATTCTTGCCAACCACTTCTTTTGTTTCTTTCATCCACTTCCAACTACACGCCTTCTCACTTGCTGACACTTGATCTTGAGAAACCTCCTCAATTAATGTTTATTAAGCATCCTCCCTCTCCACCTTCCAAAAGTTTATGACCAGTATTCCAGCTACAGAAACCACAACTCACTCTATGTCTGACCTTTTTGTGCCTTTAGAGCCTGATTCAGCAAACACTTAAGCACATACTTAACTTTAGGCATACAAATACACCTCTACCCAGATATAATGCGACCCGATACAACACGAATTCGGATATAATGCGGTAAAGCAGCCGGGAGCCCCGGGCCCTTTAAATCACCGCCCGAGCCCAGCTGTCGGAGCTCTCGTGGTGATTTAAAGGGCCCAGGGCTCCCCGCAGTGGCTGGAGCACCGGGCCCTTTAAATCACCGCTGGGGAAGCCTGACCGTACCAGCTTACTTTAACCTCTGGATATAACGTGGTTTCATCTATAACACGGTGAGATTTTTTGGCTCCAGAGGACCGCGTTGTATTGGGGTAGAGGTGTACTTGACTTCAATATGACTACGGTACATGCTTAAAGTTAAGCAATCTACTGGATCAGCAATTTAGAACCTCAATTGTTTCAGGGTAGGAACTTCTTGTTTGTTTGACACACTTAATTCATGTTTCCTAATATGTCTACAATACTACACGGAGAGACAAGGTGGGTGAGGTAATATCTTTTATTGGACCAACTTCTAAAAAATACCACCTTACCTCTCTAATATCCCCGGACTGACACGGCTACAACTACACTGCGAAGTATAGTACTACATATTACACCTCTACCCCAATATAACGCTGTCCTCGGGAGCCAAAGAATCTTACCGCGTTATAGGTGAAACCGCGTTATATCGAACTTGCTTTGCTACGCCGGAGTGCGCAGCCCCGCCCCGCCCCCTCCTCCCGCTTTACCGCGTTATATCCAAATTCGTGTTATATCGGGTCGCGTTATATCGGGGTAGAGGTGTAATTAATACTTAACATTTTCTTCTCTAGATTTCAATGCACATTACAAGTTTGGGCATATATCTCTACTTTACAGACAGGGTCACTGAAGCACAGAGAATTTAGCTGACTTGCCTATGATCACAAAGCACAGTCAGTGGCAGAAGGGTAACTCTTGCCTCCTAATTCTCAGCACAGAATTCTGTCTAAATGCCACTTGTAAAGTTCTGACAAGCAGCGTTAATACTTGCTTGTCAAAGTTTTCCTTAAATTTGTTCAGGATTAAAATTCTTCATTTCATAAACTGGAGCTAAAGCCACAAAAAGGAATTTTCTTTGCTTGATAGTCTTTTTTATTATTATTAATTAATTATTTTTATTATTATAACAACAACCCTCACAGGCCTGATTTTGAAAAAAGTTAGCTTAAACAATTATATATTTAATATGCTCACACACTTATTACCACTAGTAATGGAAACTAGACAATTGTGCACAAAAAAGATAATAATTTGTACAGGCAATAACCCAATTTGAATGCATAATCAAAGTAAATGCTGTGAGTAAATAAATAGCTGTGAGCACATTGTGTGTGAAAATCTGCACATTCACTTATCTGAAAATACAGCCCCATAGCAGGATATTGTACTATGAAGATAGGGATTTTACAAATGTTTACCTGTTGAAACACACATTATTACTGAGTTTTATACTCTTTTGCTCAGTCTTAAATAATTTTTCAAGGTCATACCAAATTCAATTTTTGAAAAGTCATTCACATTGTGGTAGTCTATGAAAAACTGCAGATGCCACAAAAATAAAGTTTTCCTCAGCTTCCATGAAGCGAAACACTGTAGTCTAGAGAGCATAATAGGGATGAAATCAATAGAGTGCTACAGAAATTTCTGAGCAATCCTAAATACGGTAATTTAATAGAGAATGATATCCTTTCTAAATAAAAAAAAAAGTGGGGGGAACCAATAATCTACAAACTATCCTATAGAATGCTGTAGTAGGATATATTTTCTATTAAAAATTCTGAATTCTATACGACAGTTCAGAAAGCCTATACAAAGTCTATCACTTTCTATCTGGTAAAGTACTTTTCTGTAAGGTCATTTTTTTAATTGAATCAGACAGATAGATATTAAAATAGTTTAAAAGTTAATATAATTACGGTTAAGAGATATATCCAAGAACACCAAAATTCCGACCTAATACCCTAAAATAACTTTTTAAAGTAACGTATTTAACAGTATACAAAAGTCAAATTTGACAATTATTGTACTGCAGAATTATGGAGAGGAATGTGTGCCACTATAGTTTAAGTGTTGTTAGTGTTTTTATTACAAACCATAGATGATGCCTGATCCAATTCCTATTGATCCCATTAATATCCGCCTATTGGAAAAAGAGCTACAGCTAATAGTCTGGTCTATTTAAATTGATTTGTGCATTTTCAACTTCAAGTAGAATTCTTTTACAGTTTCATTCAATCTGTAAGTTTTTAAATAAAGCTTCTTGCTATAGTTCATTTAAGATGGGTTATGGAACTAATGTTTTTTCAGTAGTCCCTATTCTTTTTTATATATTGTATTTATTAAACTTTTTTGTATCAAAAGAAACAAAAGCCACAAATAAAAAGACAATAAAAAGATGCACTTAAATATAAGGATTACAAAAAATAGGGGTGAGACAACATTTCAAAAACACCATTTTTAATTGTATTGGGACACAGAGAGATGCAGAAAATTTTGTAACAGGATGGAATATCTGCAACATCATAGAATCATAGGACTGGAAGGATCCTTGAGAGGTCATCTAGCCCAGTCCCCTGCACTCATGGCAGGACTAAGTATTATCTAGACCATTCCTGACATGTGTTTATCTAACCTGCTCTTAAGAATCTCCAATGATGAAGATTCCACAACCTCCCTAGGCAATTTATTCTAGTGCTTAACCACCCTGACAGTTAGGAAGTTTTTCCTAATGTCCAACCTATACTTCCCTTGCTGCAAGCTTCTTGTCCTATCCTCAGAGGTTAAGAAGAATAATTTTCCCCCTCCTCCTTGTAACATCCTTTTATGTACTTGAAAACTGTTATGAACCCTCTCACATTTTCTCTTTTCCATACTAAAACCCATTTTTTTCAATCTTCCCTCATAGGTCATGTTTTCTAGATCTTTAATCATATTTGTTGCTCTTCTCTGGACTTTCTCCAATTTGTCCACATCTTTCCTGAAATGTGGCACCCAGAACTGAACACAACACTCCAGTTGAGGCCTAATCAGCGCGGAGTAGAGCGGAAGAATTACTTCTCATGCTATTTTTTACAACACTCCTGCTAATGCATCCCAGAATGATGTTCGCTTTTTTTGCAGCACTGTTACACTGTTGACTCATATTTAGCTTGTGGTCCACTATGACCCCCAGATCCATTTCCTTCCCAAGCAGTCATTTCCCATTTTGTATGTGTGCAACTATCGATTGTTCCTTCTTAAGTGAGTACTTTGCATTTGTCCTTATTGAATTGTGTTGAACTGAAATGTTGTGGGAGTTTATTTGTTTGTAGCCCTGTAGTCAACAATAGTAGGTAGGAATTACTAAAGCGTTATATATAGCTTTTCACACATAGATAATAAACAGATTGCTTAGCATAATTTCAGCAATGCCCTGTGTAAAGATTAAATTTATAATGATTTACTTTAATACTTCCAATAGTAATTTTTATTATATTAATTAAGATATCTTTTTGTTACAATGTAAAGTACTATCTGATTTTGATCTCATTCCAAAAGCAGTCACTAGCTTTTATGAGGTTCATCTAGCCAATTCATAATCCATTTATCTTAACAGTACAAAAATGATATATACATTTCTTATATAAGAACAAGAATAGAAATCCCAGGACAGACTGCAAAACACTTTTAAACCTAATGATTTCACCTGTTACAGTTCTCCACTGCAGATAATCATCAGTGCTCATACATTAAATCAGTCCTCTTTACACCACATTCATAAAGCTGTCACACATATTCAGAACTCTTTTCTAGATTATCTTTTCTCTCTATGTCAATAGCTCTATTGTGAAAGCTGAACACACCTCTCCCACACTGGTGAATGCCAAAAAAGAAAATACTCTCCTATGCAGCTTGCAAATCTGTTTAGAAGCGTAGTAGCCCTTGTATGACTCACTTCAGGAAGTCCAGCCATATACAAGGATTTTGAATTTCAAGGGTAGCCAGTCCCTCAGCAACAGTTGTGTAAATGGGCCAGTGCATCAGTGACCCCCCCCCCCCCCCCCGTGTAACCAGTAAACGCCTCCCCCCCACACTGTAACTAGTCAATCATCCCCCCCACACACACACACACACAAACACTCTGTAACTAGTCAATGACGCCCCACCCCCGCACACACACACACCCCCAGCAGGAAGTAGCAGAGGTCCACGTCCACAGAAGCACAAGAGGGGAGCCTAACGAGCCCCCGGCCCAGTCCCGAGGGCAGGAGGGGAGAAGGGGAGGGAGGCCCGTGTACCTGCTGAGGCGGGTCGCGGCTCCAGATGACATGCTGGTGGCCTGACGCGTTCTCCAGCGGGGACACCGGCCTGGGGGAGCACGGAGGGGGCTCCAGCACCTGCACCCGCTTGCCCCCGGGGCAGCTATAGGTCCTCACCCGCTCGTACACCACGTTGCCGTCCTGATGCTGATGCTGCTGGTGGGGCAGCGGCTCCGGGCAGGGCAGGGGCCACAGATCGGGGCATGGCTTGGGCAGCGGCTCGGGGCACTGCTGGGGCCAGCTCGGCAGGGGCTCGGGGCAC